CTCCGCGGGGGTTGCTGCGGGGGCCCGGCCTGGAGGTACCAACGCGGCCCCGGCGGAGAGGGCTCCCCAGGCCCGGGGGATCCTCAGCACACCGGCCGGGGCAGCCGCCTTGCCCGCTTCCCCGAGAAGCGGGGTGGTTGACTTTTGGCATTGCCTGGCAGAAGACAGATGGTTTCTTGTCATTTCACCCTTTTCTTGGCCATCTCGTGTGTGGTGTTGCTTAAATAAATCTCTTTCTTGGCCCCCAGTACACTGCGTTGTTCCTAATGTGTCTGTTTCATGTTGGAAGTTGTAAATCACACGCAGCAGAAGGCTCTTCGAGCACGGAGAGCACTGGGGAGCACTGGCAGGACGGATCCTCTAATGAGAAGACAGTTAAGTGACTAAGCGTTTTGAAACGTCTAGGGTGATAATTTACTTGTTAACTTTTTGCGCAGCGCCAGACATCGTGTGGTTGCCTTGCGAATCGTGTGTAATGCTCTCGCGTGGTATGTTTAAAAGCTTGGGTTGGAGGCGTGTGCCAACGAGGAGGGAAAGTGCAGCTGAGACTTTGTGGCAGTGCCAAGGCTGTAGCTTTCGGTGTGGTGTTACGGTTCTGAATGTGCATTCCCAAGAGACGGTGGGTCAGAAGTAGTGTTGGTTCAACATGTGAACTGTTCCCATCTGAGTGGGAACCCTCAGTAAAACAGAAGGCTTAAAAGGCGAGAGACGTTCTCCTCTCTCTGCAGGCCCATGAGCCTCCCGGTCCAGAAGAAGGAGGCGATATCTTCTTCAGAGATCTTAATTTCCATTGTCAGGAAAGGTGAAGACAGTAAATACCTTTGCTATGCCTGAGCATCGTGAACCCAGTCTGTCTGAGGCACTGAAGAATCTTTCTGTGAGTGTTGGTCACCTTGCTCTGTTTGTGGAATGACAGAAGGTCTTGGAGCCAATGAGTGGAGAAAATTTGGAAACTGGGATAAAACAAATAGGAGCAAGGTGAGAAACCAAGATGGAAACTACTGCGTCATGCTAATTTGGGACCTTGCATTACTTGTTATAAACATTCAGTGACGTGTACCCACCTGAGTGCCTTTGCTGTGGTCAGGCTGTTTGCCTCGTAGTAAAAAATCTGTTGCTAGTGCCTTGAGTGACTTGGAACTGCAGTGGTTGTGTAAAAGCAGTGAGTGATTTCCTTGCATAGCCAAGTCCTGTTGCAGTTTGATAAGCCTTCATGAGTAAATATCATATATTTGCTGAATGATGTATTAAGTAAATGGAAATGGGATAAGTGCAGTTTTTAGATGCTGAAACTGGTTTATACTGGAATAAAATTGGCTTTTATTTCATCACCGGCATATCTAGGAGACAAACCCCAAAAGCCAAGATGTCAGTATTGCTATGTGGAACAGGTGATGATTCTTAATTAAGTTGGTGATCATTGTATTTGAAGAATTAGAAGAAGCAGAGTCTCGTTAGAAGGAGATATCGAGAGATGGCATAAAACACGGAAATAATGACTGCAGGGAAGTTTATTAATGGATTCCAGCAAAGATGGACTTGGGCTGATGTCACTCAGTATTTTACTTGATGACCTTGATACGCAAAATAGGATAAAGTAATGATGTCTGCTGATCACCCAAACCTGGGAACCATTTGCAGAGCCAAAGAAAGCTGAAGATAGCATACAGGAAAAATGGAATGAAGTTGAGTGCCAGAGTAAGTAATACCTGTGGGCTGAAGTTCAGCGTGCAAGGTTTGGGGCTGGCACCAAAGAACAAGGATTTCTGTAACAGCAGAGAGGCTTGGATGTAGTAATGGATCACAGGATGTGAGCAACTACTTCATGACAGTGAAAAAAGAAATTGTCATCTTCGGTATGCAGCAGAAAGAGCTCATTTAGAGAGACACAGAAGTGTGAACTTTCTCGTACGTAGCTGTGAGAGCCGGACGTGGGGTTGTATGCATCAGCTCTGATCACGCATTAAAAAATATTAAAAGGCATGTGCAGCCTTTGGGAAGTGCCAGGAGCTGTTGGGATGGTGAAGTGGAGAGTCAAGAGTTTAGCTTGTTTTTCTTGGCAAGCTAGAGCTGAAGAAGGGACTTAACTGTTTAAAAGCCCCTATGCTGTACAGTATTGCTGCAGAGTTTGTAATCTGGACAGTCTCCGATGCCTTGTGTTGAAAAGCCTTCACTGTGATTCCTGGGTATTCCTGTGATCACCTGATGGACAAACCCCACCAGGGACTGGGGAGACTCTCAGCTGAAAGAGTGATGTTATTTGTAACTCAGTGGTTTCTTTCCTGGAGGCTAAATGTATTATCCAAACTCCGCTGCTGTGCCATCTGGGGGAGGGAAAAAAAAATTCTGGAGCACCTCCTTTTTGCTTGAGGGAAGTGTGTTGCAGTGCCAGTGCTAGCCCAGATGCAAACATCTCGGTGTTCAGCATGAGTCAGGGAGCTGACTAAGAAGCCAGACACTGTGGTTGACCTCTTTCTTCTTAAGACGCGTTTGTGGTTACAAACAGTGCAGAGAATTGGCCATGTAGAAGAGATCCTGTATTCTCAGGAGGACTCTGCTGCATCCCCAAACTGCCAGCAGGAAGGAATGTGTGAGCAGAGCTTACTTTTTTCCCTTTTATCTCTTGGAACCTTTTCTGAGTGATGGAGGAGGCAGCAGCGTGGCACCGCATCTTTTCCGGAGTTACTTGTAGCGTCCTAACTAGCCTGGTTGTATTTAACTTCACTTTTGGCCGGCAAAAGTGAATGCTGCGTCCTCTGCACTGCTGCTGTGTCTTTGGAGAGCTTCCTCGGGATCTGCTGAAGCCAGGGTGGAAGAGGCTCCCTGTGTGCCCTGTGGCCATAAGTAAGAGTTAACAAAAGCTGCCATCAGTTGGCAGTTTCAGCTTTAAAAACAATGTCAGAGCCTTTTTTCTGAAGTTCCAGGTGGCTAAGCTGTCGATCAAAAGTGTTGTTATACATGACTGTGGCATTGAATCCGTGTATAACAAGACTCTTGATGGACAGGCTTTTTTAAAAGGAGTGATTGGGATGGGAACTGCCATTCCTGTAGTGCTGGCAGGGTGGCTCATGTAGGACCCTGCCCAGTCCAGGGGATCTGTGTTTCCCTTCCCTCTGGGATTCCTTTGTGCCTGTTTGCAATACGGTTTGTGATAATGTATGGATGTCTTCACCAAATTGTGTTACTTTGTGCATTGGGTTTGTGTGGTGGAGTTTTGGTAGTGGAGAAGGGGCCACAGGAGTGGCTCCTGTGAGAAGCTGCTAGAACCTTCCCTGGCACCAAGTTGGATGTGCGTGTTGGCCACGGCTGAGCCAGTTATCCCAGAGGCGCTGCCACTATCCCTGACTTATTTAAGAGCGAAAAACAAAGAGGACCTGGAGTGGAGAGAGGAGTTGGATATGAGAGGGCAAAATGTAGATGCCCAGGTCAGCGCAGAAAGGCGGGAGGAGGTGGGCCAGGGCAGAGGTTCCCCTGCAGCCTGTGGAGAGAGGAGCTGTGCCCCTGCAGCCGTGGAGGGTCATGGGGGGCAGAGACCCTCCTGCAGTCTGGGGGGTCCCTGTGCTGGAGCAGGTGGCTGAACCCAAAGAAGACCATTACTCCATGAGAAGGCCATGCCGGAGCAGGCTGCTCCTGAAGGACTGCGCCCCATGGAAGGGACCCATGCTGGAGCAGTTGGTGAAGAACTGCAGCCTGTGGAAGGGATCATGTTGGAGAAGTTGGTGGAGGACTGTCTGCTGTAGGAGGGACCCCACGCTGGAGCAGGGGCAGAGTGTGAGGATCCTCCCCTGAGGAGGAAGGAGCGGCAAAGACAGCTGTGATGGATTGGCCCCAACCCCCATTCCCCATCCCTCTGTGCCACTTGTGGTAGAGGTAGAGAAATGGGGAATAAAGCTAAGCCTGGCAAGGAAGGAGGGTGTAGGGGGGAAGGTGTTTTTTATAATTTGGGTTTTTTCTCATGATCCTCTTCTGATTTGTTTGGTAACAAAATTATTTTTTCACCAAGTCGAGTCTGTTTTGCTCATGACCATATAATTGGTGAGTGATCCCTCCCTGCCCTTGTCTCAACCCATGAGCCTTTCCTTGCATTTTCTCCTCCCCGTCCCACTGCGGCGAGGAGTGAGCGAGCTGCTGTGCGGTGCTTAGTGGCTGGCTGGGCCTAAACTATGACACTTGGGTAAACATTTCTCTGTATTAAGGTTACTTCCCTGGTTTGCTGAGTTGTTTGCTCTTATCTGGGGTTAGGAAAAAGGATGTGCTGTGGAATTGCTGAAATCCTGACTCTGTCCTGAAAAATATTTCTCAGATTTCACCTTCCAGTTGAGAAATGTTTTCTGGCACCCCTTCAGGAAGAGATATTTGTGAATGTCTGTGGCTGACTTGAAACTAAGAACTGTGTTTACTTGCTTCTGAATTACATAATCAGTTGTTGCTTAGAGGAGGGGAGAAAAACAGTTTATTGTTGCTGCAGAGCAAGCCTGCCTTTCATCTGATACCTGCCTGTCACTGCTTCACCGCTTCTCTGTGGTTTCACATTCCTAGCTGTTCCATCCCACGTTTCCTCCTCCTCTGTCTCCTAGTAGACAAAGCTATTTGTAAAACCTGTTTTCTTTGCAAGGCATTTTTGCAGCCGTGGTTGGTTCTGCTCTCCAATGACTAATTGCCTCCTCAGAAAATTCAGAAAAAATACAATAACCGTGTTTTAAATAAATTGGAGATTGGGTTAAGAGAAATATATTTAATGTTTCTTTCTTCCATTTTTCACCCTTTTTAAAATTATTTTTCAGGTTTGGATATCTCTTAATTGAGACGAGTGAAAATACTGATTGCAAGTGAATCCTCCTCAGTCAGCCTGTTGGATGTCTCTCAGAAAATAAGAAGTCATGGCAGAAAATGATGCAATGCCAACCTTACCAAAAAAGTGTGGCCCGTACATTTCATCTGTAACCAGTCATGGCATGAATTTGGTAATTCGTGGTATAGTGCTGTTTTTTATTGGCGTATTTCTTGCATTAGTATTAAACTTGCTTCAGATCCAGAGAAACGTTACTCTCTTCCCCCCTGATGTGATCACAAGCATCTTCTCCTCAGCTTGGTGGGTACCACCTTGCTGTGGCACAGCGTCAGGTAAGTTCAGTTGTGTACATTTGCCTGCCGTGGAGATGAAAGGGTGGATAGGAAGTTATGTACTTACAAAACACTGTATGAAAGATAAGATGTGGAAGATAAAAACGTCTCTTCCAGCATCACTACCCTTCCCGAGCTATTACTGTGCTAATCTCCCCGCATATTGCATGGAGATATGCATGCGTGTGTCCAGAAATCAGTGTTTTCGTAACTTGTTATGCTGTAATGCTGTTAGCAGAACATAACCTTTGTGATTTCTGCTGGGTTAGAGTACAAGTTTAACAGACTTAGAAGGTGATGGTGCTTGTAACCTGGATTACAGGAGTGTGCTCTACAGGCAGCCCTTAAAAATTCCCTGGCCGTGCCAAGTGGTGCGGCACACGGCACCTTGTTTGGAGTGCAGCAGACCACGCTGAGTCACGCTCCCTTTTGTGGCCCAGCATTCCATTTGTTCCTCATTCCAGTTCAAGGTGTCACTTCAGCTCCGTGAAGCTGGGAGGCCTGACTGTGTCTCAGGGGGTTGAGGCCAGGCACACAGTTTGCAGTTGCAGAGGTGCATTGCCAAACAGAGCACCTCGGGTGGATCCATGTATCGAGTCGGATGTGAACGTGTTCCATTTCTCCCGTGACCACACAGGGAATGGAGGCTTTTGTGTGTTTAGCTAGTTTATGCGAGATGTCTACTGTAGGTAGTAAGAAATATCCCCTTTTTCTCTTCTTTCATCCTCAAGTATCAAGGCATGTTCCATGTTACAAGCCTGATGGAATTCGGCTTTCTACTTGGCTCTGAAGATCACTGATCCCATGGGTCAGTTTTACTAAGGGAATATTCTTAGCAGCCAGTACTGGAGGATTCTGCTTTAGCGAACCTTTACAGTAAAGACAGTATCTTCTTAGAGGTTAGTTGTAATGAGAGTGAGAAGCTCACGTTTCTGGGTATTAACATGAGTCAATAAACTAGCTGTTGAGTTGGCATCACTGTTTTGCTAATGATAATATTTAAGTCTATATTTTTTCCTAGTCATCTGATTGGTTTCCTTTTTGATACCTTGTTGAAATACTACACCTCAGATGTCACAGAGGAGCTTGATTTGAAAGGAAACCCTCCAAATCTTTCTCTGAACCTGTCGGTTTTGTTCTGCTGTGGAAATGGATTTGATGTATTACGGTGGCAGTTACATACCTGCTTTATCTGCCCGTTGTTTTAGTCCTCTTTCTGGTATCCTGCTGAGGTGGTGGATTAGCTATTAGATTGTATCCTGTGTTGGCTGTGTGTTTCTTTTATACTTCAAATTGTATACTTTCAACTTCACAAATACGTCTGGTAAAGGTTTGATCTGTTACATATGGAGTAGGGGGGGGTTTGAAATGACAGAATCCCAACTCGCAGCAGCAGCATCTAAGGTTTGCAGTGTTCACTCTAACATTTGCACTGGCCACTGTTTGTGTCGGGCTGCACCTTGTGCTCTCAGGGGCCGTCTGGGAACGCTGCAGCCGCGTGTGGGGAAGCGGTGGCGGATAGGTCTTGCCATCATCTCAGCAGAAACTTGTGGCCTTTCTGATTCTGATGGGTTGGTGGTTTTGATGGAGAGACTGGATATGGCTTGTAAAGTGTAGTCCACACCTGCTAGGCTTTTGTACGGCTTGATTTTAAGCCACCTGATTTAAATATATTTCTGCATTAATTGGCTTCTCCCAGCAGGAGTGACCCCTGTTGAGGTGTTAGTTCTTTCTTTTTCATTAGTGATCTTTTCTGCTTCATTTTCTTTCCTTATCTTCTCTGATACTGTACATCCAGGGAAGCTCTGTGGTAAATTCTGATAATTCACCTGTTTTCTTACCATTCGTACTTTCACAGCCTTCCTGGGATTGATGTGAACATTTCTCTGCAGCATGGTTTATTATGATCAGAATAAAGGTATTTTGCATATTTCTAATCAGTGGTGATCAAGGCTGCTTTCAGAGAAGTCCTTTCACCCGTCACTCTTATTAGTCATCAGTTTGGCCCAGTGCCTTTGGCAAGAAAATTGTTTAGGGAGCTGCTTTTTTTTTATTTTTCCCCTCTCCAGCTTTACTGGTGATTTATTTTCCTGAATCCTGAGATCAGTTTCCTCTCTGGCAGAATAAAGGGCATTTGCCATATCCTCCCTCCAACAGCGTGCCAGACTGAGGGTACCGGAGTCTGTACTGATGACTCAGACTCTGCCCCCCTCCTACAGCACCAGCTTAACATTAAGCACCAGTGTTATTCCTCGGTGGTGCTGGTAACAGTCTTTTTAGCTGCAGCTGCAGTACAGAAAATGTTTATGAAGAAACGTTCCAAGAGCACAGCAGTTCCCTGGGGATGAAAGTCCTGTTTGCTTTCTGTATTCAACAGCTACCATAGTCTCTTGGCTTTCCCTCTTCTGTGTGAGCCCTTATAGTAGCATTGAAGAGGGGAAAAATGTTATCCAAACAACACTTGCTCATAACAACAACAAAAGAAGACACAAAATATTGTTGTTATTGACCACACTCTGCGCTTACTGTGGCATGTTTGTTTTGCAGTTGTTTAAATGTTTATGTTTGATCTGTGGCATTTTCAAAAGTGCCAGCCTGCAAGCTATTACTGCTCTTCCTGAACGGCAGTGTGAGACTGCACGTTTTGGTAGGGTGCAGAGCTCTTTTTGAACTGGGGGTGGAGGACAATTGTCTCTGTTTTGCTACTTCTGCCCCTGCTGCAGTGGTTGAAGATGATGCTGATGTTTTACAGGGCTTTTTTAAATAATGAAATTGTTTGAAAATTTTTCTTCTTTTACAATGTATCTTTTGTACTATTTATCCTTAAAAGACCAGTGTTAGTAGTGACAGTAATTGTCAAAGTCTAGTTAGTCTTTATTTCAGTTAAATATTGCTGGTGCTTTAACTTCTGGGCTTTTTTTCTTTCCTGTCTTCACAGCTGTGATTGGGTTATTGTACCCATGCATGGACAGACATCTGGGAGAGCCACATAAATTCAAGAGAGAATGGTCCAGTGTGATGCGATGTGTAGCAGTCTTTGTGGGAATAAATCATGCCAGCGCTGTATCCTGTATTCTAATGAAATGGATGATAACAAATGGGTTTCCACTAAAACAAAGCTCACTTAGTCATGGTGAATTGTTCAAGATGTAATGTGCAGCATTTTTCGAAGGAAATGCAGGATATCATAGAACAGTTTGGGTTGGAAGGGACCTTAAAGACCACCTAGTTCCAACCCCCCTGCCATGGGCAGGGACACCTTCCACTAGACCAGGTTGGTCCAAGCCTCATCCAGCCTGGCCTTGAACATTTCCAGGGATGGGGCATCCACAGCTTCTCTGGGCAACCTGTTCCAGTGCCTCGCCACCCTCTCTGTGAAGAACTTCTCCCTGATATCTAATCTAAATCTCCTCTCTTTCAGTTTAAACCTGTTACATCTTGTCCTGTCACTACAGGCCCTTGTAAAAGTACCCCCCCAGCTTCCTTGTAGACCCCTGTATGTGTTAGTATGTCCTTATATGTGTTATACTATTGTAGCAGTATTGGAGCTGGTAAATCTCACACCTTTTCATTCTGAAAAATCTTGTCATTAGAAATGTTTCAATATTGTGTTTTGTCTTACTTATTTTCTTTATTTTCTTTGAATAATGGAAGTAGGTGTGGGGAAATATTTGTGGTAGGTATTACAGAAAGGTGCTTTGATACATTCCCAGTGTTACTGTCCTTTTTACACCCTAGTAAAAAGCTGAACCCCAGCCTTGGGGTCATCAGTGACGGACATGGACTTTGCAAAGGATGGGGCAGTCAGAACCAGGTAATACCCAGGACTACACAAAGTGTGTGAGCATTGTTACCCCATTCCACAAATGATGCCTTGATCCTGAGTTGTTGCTCCTAATTCAGGTGCATCCTTGCACAAGTGTGCTCAAAACTGGCATCCCTTCCCCCTAAAGCCACTGGGGACATGCTGACTGTCAGGCTGTTTTTCATGTGGTACTGGCACACTGTATTGGCAGTGCCATGAGTCTTGGTGGTTTTCTGTAGTCACATCCAGTGCCTCCTCTGTCAGGTAAAACCAGGATCTGTCTGTGAAAACTGAGTTCTTGTAAACTGATTAGAAAGTAAGTTGATCATCTCTGGAACTCTACTCTCCTTCAGTCTCAGCTCCAACACGGTTTGCAGAAACCATGCTAAGAAGTTCTGATTGTGTGCGACTGAATCTCCTCACTTCCAAGAAACGAGGGAAGTTAAGTGAAAGATGTGAGCTGGCTAAATGGTGGCTTGCCCCTCAGATGGGTTTTGCTGTTTGGTTTTGTTCCCATCCTATCCAATATGGCTGGATGAGCTGGAGCTGCCACTGTTCAGTCATTCCCACTGTCCCTCACAAGCTTTGCTCTCGTGTCAGTGATGCATTAACCTGGTCGTGTGGTTCTCGCCGACCCGGACTGTACCTGTTGTGAAAGCACATGCAACGTCACTGCTTTGTAGAAATGCGAGAGAATTGACAGCGTCTCTCTGCATGGGTCAGATTATTCACAGCAAACCTCCTTGCAGTTTTCTAACAGCTGTTACACATGTTCCAGAACATCATTAATGTACTGTCTGTATTTCTTCCTTGACAGCTCTCCAGACTGCTTTCTTTTCAGCTTATTACCAGTTCTACACATTACCATATTGGGTGTGGTTTTTGGTTGTGTTTGACATTTTTTTTCTGATGCTATTGATTTTTATCCTGTAATTATTTATTTCAGTTTGTTGAACTTCTTTCTCCTTTCCTCTGGGTCTCTCTCCAGGCCTCTGTGAGAAAACAGGGCAGTGTTTTTATGCTGTCATCCCATAAATATGTTTTCAGGCTTATGAAACTTGACAGCTTCCTTCTTAATAATCGGTTTTGGACAGGAGTAGTAAGGATGAGTTAGTATTTCCAAAACAGTTTGAAGAACATGAAACACTGCAAAGATACCTGGAGTGACTTCGTGCTTCTATCACCACAGAGTTGGCAGAACTGGTTTTCAATGTTGATTTACATGAGTGCTTTCACAACAATATTATTTACATTTTTTGTGATAGAAAACATTAAAATTTTTGATGTTTATCTGAATGTAAAATAGCATGTAAATTATTTGCAATTAAGTAAGAGTGAAAAATACCTTTTTTCAGTAAATCCTTGTGATTTAGAGGAGTCCAATGCTAGACTTAAGATTTCACACTTAGTGTAGTAAAGGGCCGGGTAAGGATGAGATGTCCTTACTCTGAAAAGTGACATGTGCATTGTATGTCCGTATAAAACGTCAGTATTGCCTGGTAGGTGTGTGGACTCTTTGCTCTTGTTAAGTGCTAAGACCCTAAAAATGTGAGTAAGTGTATTAAGTTTCCTACAGCACTTACAAGGCTTATTTCCCCGTACTTGATGGAGGGCTGTGTTACAGCTGATGCTGCTAGCGCTGTGTTTTTTAGGCATTTCGGTCATGCCAAAATATAATAAACAGGGTGAGGAGAGCTGCTCTACACCTGTATTTGATAATTCCAAACTTATCCTTAACAATCAACACAGAAAGTGGATTTTGCCAACAACATTCAGTTGTCTCTCACCTTAGCAGCTCTGTCAATTGGACTGTGGTGGACATTTGACAGATCGCGAAGTGGCTTTGGTCTTGGAGTAGGAATTGCGTTCCTGGCCACGTTGGTGTCACAACTTCTGGTCTACAATGGAGTTTATCAGTAAGTATTTACTCCCTTAAGGTTAAATGGTAGTCTCCTGAAGCTGTGATTTAAAATGAGAGTAACTGAAAGGGTAGAATTTGATGTGATTTCCAAAGCTGCCAGCACTTAATTTTGAATATAACATAAATTTGGCTGTTGATGAAAGCTTTTGTGTGTTTGTGAGACTTTGGGTTGGTGGTTGCTTATTTCAGTAGAATTGCTACCCTACTGACAACTAACATGCTTTTCTTAGTTGAACAAATGGGATTATAACCAATAAGAAGCTTGCTTTGTTATTTGCTGCAAGTGGTTAAATGTGAGTAATACACGTATTTTTTGGTTGAAATGACCTAATATTTAAACTGTGGATTTCTGTCACATGATTGGAAGACTCTATGTGTTGCACAATGTTGAGATCAAAAATGTGTGATTCTTTCCAGATACACATCTCCAGATTTCCTTTACGTTCGTTCCTGGTTGCCATGTATATTTTTTGCTGGTGGAATAACCATGGGCAATATCGGCAGGCAGCTGGCAATGGTAGGTTTTGGTGGGCGTAGGTGTCGATTGCCTTCTAGTAAAAGTTCTAATCTATGTGTTATTCCTTCATCTGTACCAATTAGCTATTTGATTTGTGGATGTGGAGTAAGGTAGAAATCTGTAGTCAGTGCTTTTTAATCTAGTTAGTGAGATGTTAGTACTGTTACTCAGAGCACAGCCTGTGACTTTGCTCTCTACGCTCACAGCTGTGTACTTTTAGACTTTGCAGGACCAGGAGCTAAGTAAGAGCTCCTGTGTTTGGGGAGAAGTCAGGGCATTCCCTAAGTCTGAACTGCTCTTTGTGCTGCTCAAGGAGGCAGAAATTGCAGCCAGCAGTGTATGCACAGAACGTCATCTATGTGGACTTGTGCAAAGCCTTCAATACTGTCCCACATGACATCCTTGTCTCTAAACTGGAGAGACATGGATTTGACAGGTGGACTGCTCGATGGATAAAGAATTGGCTGGATGGCCGCACTCAGAGTGGTGCTCAGTGGCTCAGTGTCCGAGTGGAGACAGTAACAAGCAGCGTTCCTCAGGGATCAGTGTTAGGACCTGTACTGTTTAACATCTTTGTCAGTGACATGGATGACGGCATTGAGTGCACCCTCAGCAAGTTTGCTGACGACACCAAGCTGTGTGGTGCGGTCGACACTCTGGAGGGAAGAGATGCCATCCAGAGGGACCTGGACAGGCTGGGGGGGGGGGCGTTTTTGTTTTGAAAATGAGTAATACTAATTTTGTCAACTTCTATCTTTCAGTATGAATGCAAAGTCATTGCTGAGAAGTCTCATGAGGACTGAGGAGAAACAATATGCACCTTTTAAACAGGAAAATATCTGACAAATGACTGTTGGAGGAGCATAAGGAACACTTGACTATGAAATTGCCAAAATGCAATTTTTTTTTTCCCTTGAGTGGTATACTTTACTGCAATCTGTGATTGCTGCTTCTCTAGAATCCTTGATGTCTGATTTTAATTACTGTGAAGTTACAATAGTATGCAATACATTTGACAATATTGGTTCAATGATAGGATTCTTTTTTTCCAGGTCTACACTGAGTTTACCATAAGTTCTTGTCTGTCCATAATGTTGCAGTGCCAAACTGAACCTTTGCACTACGTCTCTGTAGCTGAAACTTCTGCTTCACTTTATCTTGAAAGGTCTGAGGAATTTGTTCTTAATAGCTCAGTGAAGGACAGGGGATTCAAATGCAGGAATGAAGATCATCTTCCGTGATGATAGCCTGTAAGATCTTTATGGAATTCATGGATTACAAGTGAACTTTGCAATAAGTAACTGATTTCTGCCTATTAACACACTGTATCGTTTTTCTTCCTCACATTACAGGTGAGGGAACTCAATACAGAGCATGTGGGTTATTGCTGTGGCATTTCATGTGTCTGTGGTACGTGCCCAGTATCGCGGAACACAGAAATGGAAACTGAGGCTGGAAATTACTTGTTGCTTTTCCCCTGGTACAACCAGTACACATGATTGTATATGATTTTATGTGGACAGATTCTGAAATCCTTGTGCTGAGTAATGGGGTACAATTTGGGTCATTCTTGAACAATCCCTTAAGCTGACTTGTGTTGATCCCATATTGGAGAAAAAAAAATCTTAGGGAGTTTTTATTGTAAAACTTAACTTTGCTGTACTAAATCAGTACCATGTAGTGTCATAAACCCCTCCGTTACCAATGTTACTCTTGATAGTTCTTGTCTACTACCTGCTCTGTTCTCAGGGATCGGCAGAAGAAGGCAAGGCTGTGTTTTAGGTACGCATGTAGCCTATATTGCTGTGACTATGGTCTGGGCAACCATAAATGCATTTGGTCTTACAGCAGTTTTCTAAGGCAGAGGAATGCTGTTACTCTGATTTTACAGGTGCCTGTGCACAGAAGGTCTGATAGGACAGCTGAAACAAGTCGTGTGCTAATTGGTTCCCTTCTTAAGAAGGACTTCAGTGCGTGACCCATATTTGGGGGAATATGTAGAATTTCCTCTTGGCTTTGCAGCTCCCTGTTAAGACCATGAGATAAAAGAACTTGTGCAAGAATGCAGAAAGCAGACTTCAAGAGAACACTGCTAACCTGTGCCAGCAGTGAGTTCGGCATGGGATGTCTCCACATTGTTTTCTCCCTTCTGTCTCTGTTGATGATGTTTTAATGTATTTCTTTTCCTTATGTCTTGAAGTACTATCTTTTAAATCTTCTATGAAAGGTTTATCAGGCATGTTACAGTCACCTAGGGAGGCTGGAGTCGGTCCAAAGAACAAATAGATGTTTAGACAAGTCTTTATTAATAAATGTGTGTATGCATTGTACACCAAGCTTGGAATGGGCAACTCTTTCTCAGTCTTACATCCTTATCTCTAAGTCTGAAAAGTATGCAATGGAGTGCTTCCAAAAGCGTTGTAACGAGAGAGGTGGTCACAAAAGGAAAATTTCTTGAATGGGGAAGTGTAAAATTAATAAGTAAGCGAATGATTTATTAAGAGCTGGGTTCTGCAGCTCCACAGAGTTTCATTGGCTTATCACGGTTCCGTGACAATTCAGCAGTGAAGCACACTTTCACGGCGTAACGTTTCAAGACAGCACTTACGGATGTGCTTTACTTGAAGCAGAGGTAGAACACGTTTAAGTAAATCCTTGACTAGAGATTTTCTTGTAATCAAACCATATGGCAGTAAGAAACACTTTATTAATAAAACCAAGAAGCTGTTAGGGCATGAACTAAGGGTGGTTTTCCTTGGGCAGGCTCTGGCGTTTCACTGGAGAAGCTGTTGGGTCCCTTTCCATACAGTGTTTGGCCTCATCCGCCTTCTGTACTTCAACAAATGGCTTCAGCTTGGTGGGCGGCGTGATGAGTTCCTCTGGAATTATCAGGGCGTGAATGGCATAAGAATTCAGATGTTTTGTATCCTAACTGTAGGGAATAACGTGGTGCCTCGGTAGCCAGTGTGCTGATGTGGTAAACGATTTATTTCCATCATGACCAGTAAGTCTGTACAACTGGAGAGGAGTAGTTTGTAATACTCGCTTTGTGGTAGGACTGCTTTTACCCACCAGTCTAAATATTTGCACAGAAGCAGCTTCGTGTACGTTCAGATGTGCAGTATGTGAGAAGTAGTTATTGTGCATCTGTGGCACCCACTTTACAGCACTTTGCACTCGGATTCATCTAAACCTGATTAGACTGTGCTGTCCATTAACTTTTAAATTTCATTTTGGAAATTTTGAGCGTGTTGTGCAAAGGCAGCAAACACCCAAAATAAATTTGGGTGGAGTCCTTTATTATGTGTGTTGTTATTTTTATTCTTACGTGATGAAAGTCGATACACGATTCGCATCTTGGATGTCCTGTTTTTTCAGACTGCGTTGTAATTTTATGGCTGATGTGTTCAAACCCTGAGAAAGGCTCATGACGAGAATGCGGATGCTGCCTTAACCGTAGTGGTGTGAACATGCTGCTACTGTATAGCATGTAATTACAACATTAGACCGTCTTAAAACTGTTGTTCGATAGAGAATGAATAAGGTATATTTTAGATACGACTTTATAAGCACTATAACCTCTTCACTAATTGAGCATTGTAAGGTCTATGCTGTTGAAACTGGCAAATTGCTGTTAAAAGCAAAACGTGCATTAAAGACAATAACAACCTGGTTTGATAGGTTTCTTCTTTCTTTAAGAAATAATACTGTCTTTTAAAATACACTGAGTTGCCTTCTATTGGCAATCTTGTAATAATTTTGACCGTTGAGCTGGCATATTGGTTGCACAAAACACCTGTCTAGAAATACTAAGAAAGAAGCAGGCAAGATCAAATCGGCAGCGGTTCTGTCGTAATTAGCATGCTGAGCAGCCTCTGAGAGTTTGCCCTTTTGAATCTGCAGTGGGAATATTTGAGCTGGGGGAAAATAAACCAGATAACTTGAGTTGCAATACCAAAAATAGAGATTTAAATAGCCCCTGTGAATATGAAAATAACGTGAATGGCAGGGAATCCCATAATGGGGTCTTTGTATTGATTAATATTCTGGTCTGGATATGAACCGAATGTTACTCTGGTGCTCTCAGGCTGTCCCTTTGCAGAGCCTGTCACTCTGTCTCAAAACTGATGTAACAAATAGAGGTTTAGAAACTTGTAATGAAAAAGCCTCCGGGCAGGGATGAAGAAAGGTTCGGAGGGGGGTTCGTGGGTGTTTGGGATGCAGCGCCTATAGACGTCCCACAGCAGGACAACACTGCAAGTGGAACTTGGATAGAGCGTGGGGAGCAAATGGAAAAGACCTGTGTTTGTGTTGGACGGGGCAACCTGTGACCCAAAAGTCCAAACTTCACTGTCAAAATGCAGAGTCCTGGGCATGCCCAGTGTCTGACCAGGGAAATTACAGCCAAGGATAGGAATAACCATGATTTTACCCGCTCATAGCACTGCGTTCGGTGGAGAGCATGCTGGCTAAGCTACTTTGGTGGAGTTCGCCTCCCCCCTTCATCTGTGGTCTCTCCAGGAGAGCATCGCTCTGGAGAATGGAAACTCCAGGTCCTTCCTGCCCAAGTTCAGCCCAAGGTTGTCGAATGGGAAGGTGCCCATTTGGGAGAGAACATTCCAGCTGCCAAGCTCTCATGAACCGCGTCTCATGCCTCCCTTTCTGATGTGGCTGCTGTAAGCAGCTAGAAGGGGAGTAAACAAAGGAACTTTCCTCTGTTGCTTCTGTACTTGTGCCATCTGGCTGGGAGCTGCCACGGGGACCTGTGGGCATACACCAGCCTTCCCTTTTTGTCTCTCCCAGCATGTAAGGGAGGGATGTAATTTTACCAGCTGCGTCACCCTGGACATGTTGCATATGGTTTCTACATTTTGGAGCAGTGTTACCAATAATTCCTAATGGTAACGGATGAACAGAACCTGTGGAAGCAGTGTTACATCTCCAATACAACGCTTAGGAACGTGCACGCACAGCTGGGCAGAGGGAACACGTGCCTCGCCGCGGGAATAGCAATCTGATGCTGTTAGCTTTGATGCCAGTGCTAAATGCAAAGCATGAGTAATTTTGCAGCTTAATGTTCAGTACTAAACAGTAAATGAAAGGTCAGTCCAACATGTTAACTGTCACGGAGTAGTAAACACTATTTAATTGCTTCGTGCAGCCAGCTTGGACTTCGGTGTGTCTGTTGTCATGTGTTGAGCAGTATGGGCCAGAGCCTTGTCCTGATTGCCTCCGCCCAGGCAAATGACAAAGCCTCAAATTAAGGGATAAACTTTATGCCTGGGCTTTTCAGGCAGCACATGAGAAGTGTCTGCTTCGAATGCTTGGTAGCTGTGCTGGGGAAGAGGTAGGGGTCACTTCTCCATCTGATTGGAGCCAAAATCCAGGATGAAATGTAGTTTTGGATTTCCTTTCTTGCTCTTTGCTTCTGAAGCACAGAAGTTTAGTAGCTCCTGTTGCACTTTCACACTTCGTATTTTAGCCTGTCCAGCACTGCAGCAGATAGGAAACGGCATTTACAAATAGGAATGAGTGTAAAGGGAAGGGGCTGCTACTCGGTTTCACCAGGCCAAGCCGGTTGAGAGCTCCGTGGTGCCCAGTGTGCCGTGTACGTCAGCCGTGCAGCCTGCGCCGTCCCCAGGTCCAAGCTGAAAGGATTCTCTCTGCATCTGCAGTGATTCTGCCTTGAGTTCTGCATTTTAAAATCCTCTATGCAAAGAGTGACCAGTTGTAGTTACGCTGGGGTACGTGTACACGCTGCAGAGCCTTGGCAGTGCCGCAGTCTGCAGCTGTAGCCATAAGGTCTGCTTTTTACATATTTGTTGGTAGAAATCCTGAAATCATGCCTTTTAAGCAAATACGGCAAAATATTTGTTAAAAGAAAATCTGTATTTATAAATATGTTGCTGTCGGAATTCACAATGTAATTCTGCTATTTCTGTTCTCTCTGTAGTTCAGCGTATACCTTATGTTACGTGAAATAAGCCTATGTTTCAGATATTTAATACTTTTTTAGTAATCCAACCTCAAAGCAAGATGTGTTCCATGCAGTTATTCAGGAAAACGTGTGAACTGAAAGGAAAGATGGGAGGAATAAGGTTGCAACTTAAATTACCAGGTAGAAATTATGCAGGGAGAAGCCCCAACATTTTGCATAGTGTTGCAAGGAAGAAAAAAGACAATAAATGATCGTTCTGATTTCGTCCTGGGTTTCACCACAAGAAGGGGAGGGGAGCCTTACAGATGCAGTGCGTTTATATTGCCTTGTTCTGATCTTCAGCTGTTCTCCGGAGGCATCACGTCGTTGGCCATCATCAGC